CAATTGCCAATCGAAACCATTACTTCCATATCTATCACCAAAACAATTCTCCAGAAAACAGACATCTGTTACTGCTAGGAACCATTGTAAAAAGGTTTTGTCTAATGCCAAAGCCCGCTATTCTCAGATCATGAAATCTCGTATTCATCACAAAAATTAGGCTCTCGTGACTTCTGGAGAATCTTTAATAGTATCAATAATAAAGGCAAGTCTGTAATTCCACCTCTTTTGTATGGTTCAGACTTAGTCACCTCACCTAAAGACAAAGCTGAATTGTTTGCCAAAAACTTTTCATCAATATCTCTTGATGCCACTAGTTGCGTTCTACCTGATATAGCCGTCAAACAGGTTGATTCATTGCTCGACATTCGTATCACTCCAGCTTCTGTATCTAAAGTGATTTTCCGCTTAGACTCTTCTACAGCTTGCAGACCGGACAACATACCTGTTATAGTCTTGCAGAAGTGTTCTCCGGAGCTGTCGTCTATCCTTTCAAAACTATTTAACAAGTGCTTATCAGAGTCTTGTTTTCCAGCCTGCTTGAAAGCAGCATCTGTTATCCCTATTTTTAAAAATTCAGGAGAGCGATCTGACTCGTCTAACTACCGTCCCGTTAGTCTTCTTCCTATCATAAGCAAGGTTTTTAAATCTTTAATTAACAAACACTTATTCTCTCATCTCGAATCTCATAACCTACTTTCTGATCATCAATATGGATTTCCATCCTCTAGTTCTACGGCTGATTTGCTATCAGTAATAACCGATAGGTTTTATCGTGCATTAAATAAAGGTGGAGAAGTTAAGGCCATCGCTCTTGACATTTCTAAAGCATTCGATAAAGTTTGGCATGCTGGTCTTCTCCATAAGCTTTCTTCATACGGTGTATCTGGAAACATCTTTAAGATTATTGAATCCTTTCTTTCCAATCGTAGTATAAAAGTTGTCCTTGATGGACAGCACTCTTCTTATTCTATAACCTCAGGGGTTCCCCAAGGTTTAATCCTTGGCCCTATACTCTTTTTAATTTACATTAACGATCTTCCAGATATTCTCACATCTAAGGTGGCATTGTGTGCTGATGATACTACCATTTATTCTTGTCACGATAAGAATCCAACTCTCGCTGATTGCTTGCAAGGGGCATCTGAGCTTGAAAAGGATCTCACTTCTGCTACAGCATGGGGCTCATGGTGGCTGGTGAACTTTAATTCAGATAAAACTCAATTTTTTTTCAGCCAATTGTTATCGCAATAATTTAGACCTTCCTATATTTATGAACGGTAATGTACTCGATGAGTATCCTGCCCTTCATCTTCTAAGATTAACTCTTACTTCTGATCTTTCTTGGAAACCTTATATTAAATCCGTTGCAAAATTAGCATCTGCTAAAGTTGCTTCTCTTTATCGAGCTCGTCACTTTCTTACTCAGGATTCTATTCTCTCTCTAAATCTCAAATCCGGCTTTATATGGAATACTTTTGCCATATCTGGGGTGGATCTTCTAATGATGCCCTTTCTCTTTTAGACAAGGTGCAAAAATGCATTGTAAACATAGTTAGACTTGCTCTTGCAGCCAACCTTCAACCTCTGTCACATCGTCGTAATGTTGCTTCTCTTACTCTTTTCTACAAATACTATAATGGGCACTGCTCGAAAGAGCTAGTGTCTCTTGTGCCATCTACTAAAATTCATTCTCGTGTTACTTGTCATTCAATTAAGTCTCATCTTTTTTCTGTTACTGTTCCTAAGTGCTCCAAAAACTCTTATTCGTCTAGATTTTTTCCTCGAACATCAGTTCTTTGGAATTCGCTTCTTTTATCTTGCTTTCCTGATTCATATAATTTGCAATCTTTTAAGTCGTCTGTCAATTGTTATCTTGCTCTACAATCTTTATCTATTCTCTTCCAGTAACTTCCAACACTAATTAGTGGATGCTTGCAGCCTTGTTGGAAGCGAATCTAAAAAAAGAAAAAAAAAAAAAAATTTTTTAATGGCAGTTCTGTTTGGCATTATATCTTGTTTTAAGCTTGTTTACTCAGGCTTGGACAGGAATGGCGTGCGATCGTACTCTGTAACTGACCACGCCAATAGTTTTTTTTTCTTTACAACTTGACCATGGCTATTTTGATGTTTTAACAATTTAAATGCAATAAAAAGTGTTACGTTATGCATATCTTTTAATCGTTGATCTTTTCTAAAGTTTTTATTTTACGCGGAAGGCTTTAAAATAAAACCATTTAATTATTTTTAATGATTTTTTACATAAACACGTGTGTAAATTAATAAAAAATGTTTTTATAAATTATTTTTTGTGTAGGCATGATAAATTTAAATGTTTGAAACTATTTTTCTATGTCTTCCTTAAAATCTTTTAAAGCTTTAATTTTAAAAAGATTTTTTTTTAAGTTACTTTAATTTATGAATAAGTTCAAAACCTTTGGCTAGCTTTTAGACATTTAATGTGAATTATACAAGAATATAAAATAACTTTATTTACTTATATAAGCATGTGTTTTGGAAAAGTTTTGAAGCATTTTGTAATGTTCATACGATTAATTTTTATGACTTATGATTTTTTAAAATCTTTTAAACAAACATTTTATTTTTTGAAAAACAATTTTTTTTGTTTTTTTTGTTTTCCAATTACGATAGGAATGAATGAGTTGAAATCATAATAATTTTTAAATTCGTAAAGTGAAGCGCTTAATTATATAGTTACAATGCTCAAACTAAAATTGTTTGTTGGCAGTTTATTTAATTTAAATTGCAGGCGCACTTTATTTATTTTTTTACCATTTTTATGATTAAAAGAGTTAGAAACCTTTTATAAGTAGACATTAATTAGAGCATGAAATTATTAAAAATTACTATTTTAAAAAGACTACGTTATTTTTTTAAACAATTTTTTTTTTTTTTGCAACTTTTTTGAAAAAATAAATGTATATACAATTTAAAAATATTAATTACAGCACTTTTTAATAAATTTGATAAAAATTGTTTATTTATTAAACAATCGTTAGTAGTAATTTGTTAATTTAAAAGCGTTTTGTGTAACGTTAAAAAGATTTATTTTTAAAATGTGAAAAATAGTTTTTATTTTTCATTTTTATTATAGTGCTTATATAATTTTTTTTTTGTAAAGAATATTTTTCGTTTCTTTTTTCTCTAGTAATTTTTTTTGTTTTTTTCTTTAGTAATTTTTTTTTTTCAACTTTTTTCCTAGTTTAAGTTTAGCTTAGCGTTTATACATTCAGCGCATTTCTGAAATGTTTAAATCATCAAAACATATATATAATCGTGGTCAAGTTGTCAAGAAATAAAATCATTTGCGTGGTCAGTAATAGCACGCTATCGCATGCCATTCCTGTCCAAGCCTGATTAGTGTTAGTGTCTGTTGCTTAGTGTTAGTGTCTGATGCGATTTAATAGAAGCTTTAACTTCTATTAAATTAAAAAAAAAGTTTTGTAACTAATGTTTCTTCTCCATGTGTGTTTAACATAACTATACCAAGGCTAAACTATCCTAATAGACTTTGCTGATCTTAAATAGTATTAAAAAAACCGTAAACATGTAAATTATATTTTATAACTTGATAAAATAATAATTGTGTTTAAAAAAGCGTGAGAACATCAGGCATTTAAAAAGTAATATTTTTTAACACAAACACACACAATCCAACCTTGTTGCAGGCCTTGTTATGAGATTTTGTTGCGTAACGGAAAAATGCAACGTGAATATATGTTACTTTATTAGATAAAGATATTTAAATCGTTAAAAGTTTAATTGTGCCAGTTACGTATTTTAAAATAGGTATTTAATTGTAATTTATTGTTATTAAATTCAAAAACGCATTAGAAATTATGTAAGTCTTTTGTAAGTCTTTTAAATGTTTAAAAAATTTAAATGTTTAAAAAATTTAAATTTAAAATTATATCTTTAAATTAAATAATATTGTTATAAAAAAAGTTATAAATTAAATTTTAAATGTTGATTTAAAAAAAGTTTCCTTATTTTAAAATCTTATACTTATTTTAACTTTATGGTAATTTTTTAAAAAAATTACCATAAAAATAATTTTTTAAAGAAAAAAATTTTTTTTTCTTTAAAAAATTATTTTTATAGTAATTTTTTTTAAATGAGGGGACTCTTGTTTATGGTTGTTTTTCTTAAAAGGATTTTCTCAAAAGGATTTAAGTATACACAATTAAATTAGGTTTTCTCCTTTTTAAAAAAATCTTTGCGCTAACTGGCTTTCCGTAAAATAAAAATTTTAATTAAACGAAGATTATTTTTTGGCTTTTTTTTTTTTTTTTTTTTTTTTTTCCATTTCCATTAAAATATTTTATTTTTGTGTACCGTGAAATCTAATGTATTTCTACTATATCGTACTAAATCCAAAAAGAAAAATAGTATTTCGGTTTTTAAATTTTATTACCAGAACTTGTTTTTAAAAAATATCAGTATAATTTAAAAATTTACCTATCTTATAGATAGTTAGGGTCGAAATTAAGAAAATTGAGGTCAGCAAATTATTGCCGACCTCAATTTTCCTATTTTATGGAAAATTGTTTTGAGATTTTGAAAAGAATTTTAATTAAATTTAATCAAATCAATTACTAAAACTATGAATAATAATAAAATTAATTTAAATTTAATAAAATAAGTTAAAAACATATTTTTTTAAAAAATGGAAAGTCGAAAAATGATATCTATCTGTTTTTTATCTAATTAAAAAAATATTCCACAAATGTATTTTACAACAATTAATTACAGTTTAATGTTTTCTGCATAATCTGTTTTAAGACTGTTTAAAATAAACTTATTAAAAAAAGTTTTTGCATAATGTAAATTGCGAAACGCTTACGTAAAATTCAAATAGGGAAACGCTTCTTAACTAGGCCTGCTGTTGGATTAAGTCAGCAGTATATGTATACACTAATACAGTAATTTGCTTCATTGGTAGAACTTTTTATATTTTTGTACTTTTTAACTTTTTATAGTCGTTGAGGCAAAGAAGAAATGAAGTGTCTGTGGTTTTAAGAAAGGTTAGAGATTATCTTTTTTAGTTTATTAGAAAATTTTTGAAATAAAAGACAATTAAAAAAATAAGTTTAAGCAAATCACTTGGATTAATTTTTCTTAGGCAAAACGAGACGAAGCACTTCAAAAACGAAGACTTGTTCCAAATGTTGAAGAAGATGAGAAAGAAAATAAATTTCAAGTATTTCAAAATAAATTTCATATAGTTATAATAAAAATAACATAAAAATTAAATAATAAATTAAACTTTATATTACATATTTTTAATAAATGAAAAGTAATTTTTATTTTTTTAGGATGCTTCTTTACAAAGTATTGTCGAGGTTAGTTATTTATTGCCAGATTGTTTTGTTTAAACAATTTTTTATGTATCTTACAAAGATTTTTAAATTAACTTTGTTTAAATTCAATTTATGTTTTAATAAAGTAATAAAATTGCATGATAGTTATAAAATAAAGGGCAATAAAAGTTAAGAGGATTACAAATTCCATTTACATGGCTTGAATTAAGTGTAAAACGAATTGTAATTTGCTTTTCGCATCTTCGCTGTTAGTTTTTACTTTAAAAAAGTATTTTCATGATTTGTGTTTGTGTGTGTCTGTGTATATATATATATATATATATATATATATATATATATATATATATATATATATATATATATATATATATATATATATATATATATATATATATATATATATAGACCAGTCTTAAAAGGAATGTTTTTGTCTAAGTTTTTTATTGGGGGTCATAAAGTGCTAAATTTATCTTTTCCATTAAACTAAATACTCAGAAAAGTGCTTGTTGTATGAAAATCTCAGCGCAAGAAAGCAAGTGATCATATTTCTATTCATAAAAGTACATCACAGTAAATTTACCTATTAACTAAATCATAATAACCAGTTAAGTTACTCAACTAATTAATTTATTTAATATACTCAAATAATTGCAAAAGTTAGCCATACAAATGTTTCTATTTATATCTTATATAACACATAAAAAGCTTTTACCTAAAAATTATTTTAACAACAAATCTCAAATAGAAAATAAAAAAAGGCTATACCATTTTTTTAAAATTTTCATTTTTTTTTTTCATTCGGTATCAAGATTAAACATTTTCTTTAAATAAGCAAGTTGTTTCTATAATTAAAAAATCAAAAAAAAAGTCTTCTAAAATTAGTCTTTCTTCTAAAATTAGTCTTTGGACTCCCGGGACCAACCATAGAAATAATTTTATAAATTTTTTTTCTATATTATAAGATATATATGTCCATGAAGTTTATTATGGTATTTTTTTAAAATAATTTACATGTTTTCTGTAGCATATATAAATATTTAAATTAAATTAAAATTACTCACAAGACAGAATAAGTTGTTTGTTGTTATTTTTCTTCTCCTTCTAGTTCACTAAAAATTAAGAACAAAAGTTCTTTAACAGAATTTTTAAAGTACCTGAAATTAATTTTTTAAAAAGTATATTTAACATAAATTAAGTGGTTTTTTAAAAAGAGTTACCTGTTAATGGGTTTAAAATCTTTTAATAATATCCAAACATAGGTACCTAATATCTGGCTGTACAACTTTTACTATTTTTAACATCAAATATAGCCTAAAATGTTTTATTATATATATATATATATATATATATATATATATATATATATATATATATATATATATATATATATATATATATATATATATATATATATATATATATATATATATATATATATATATATATATACAGAATGCTGCTCATGGTGAACCTAGCAACAGATTAGCAGCTGTGCAAGCTGCACGCAAGTTACTTTCACGAGACCGAAATCCACCAATTGATGACCTTATTCAGTATGTTTTTTTTTTCTATCTTTGATTTTTTTTATCTCATTGCTTCAACGTTATTGTTATACTAATTTGATTATTATACTAATTATTTTTGATTATTATTTTATCAGATTATATATACTGATGTCTTTTAATATTTAATAACATTTAAAATCTCTATATTAAATATTTAAATGTTAGGGCACATTTCTACTTACATGAAATTTTCTGCGGAAGGGAATGAAAAAAAAACATGTAACAAAAAAAATTTAAAACATGCTATTTATTTGTTACATGATTTGAACTTTTTTAATAATAAATTATCAAAACCAATAATATTTTTAATAATCAAAAGTCAAAACCAGTATGATGGCCTAAACAAAGGCTTTAGCATATAGAAAGTGCCAATGTTAATTTTAATGTTAATAACTAAGGTTTTAGTTAAAGTTAGTTTATTTAAGCAAAAATCATCATAATTAAAGATAATTATATAGGCTCTCGTGTCACACAAATATAGTTATATAGGCTCTTGTGACTTCTAGAGTATCTTTAACAGTATCAATAATAAGGGCAAATCTGTTACTCCACCTCTCTTGTATGGTTCAGATTTTTTCACCTCACCTAAAAACAAAGCTGATTTTTTTGCTAAGAACCTTTCATCAATCTCATCTCTTGATTCCACTAGTTGCGTTCTACCTGATATAGCTGACAAACAGGTTGATGCGTTGCTTGACATTTGTATCACTCTAGCTTCTGTATTTAAAGTGATTTCCTGTTTAGATTCTTTTACAGATTGCGGATAAGATACTTGTTATATTTTTGAAGAAGTGTTCTCCGGAGCTGTCGTCTATACTTTCAAAACTATTTAACAAGTGCCTATCAGATTCCTGTTTTTTAGCCTGCTGGAAAGCGGCATTTATTATCCCTAAATTATCATTATTTAAAATTTCTGGAGAGGAATCTGACTCGTCTAACTATTATCCTATTAGTCTATTATTATGCGGTAGTGGTGTAGTGGTAAAACACTTGCTTCATAAGCGAGAGGTTCTGAGTTCGAACCCCACCACGTCCCTGGTAGTACAACGCTCAACTTGTTTCTCCGCGCAGCAGCCTTGTTTGTCAAGGTTCGTGTTTGGGAGTTGTAGAGTTGAGAGAGGGTTATAACCACTATTAAGTAGCCTCCTCGTCTGTAGTGGCCTTCTCAGCCTTAAGGAGGTGAATAACAAAAAAAAAATAAAAATAAAAAAAAGTCCTTATTCCTTTCATAAGCAAGGTTTTTAAATCTTTAATGAACAAACACTTAATCTCTTATCTTGAATCTAATAACTTATATTCTGATCATCAATATAATTTTTGATCTTCTCGTTCTACAGCTGATTTGCTAACAGTAATAAGCTGATTTGCTAACAGTTCCCTCGGGACATTTATTTTTAACACTCGTTCACAATGCCAATCAATGACTGCAAAATAAACAACTCAATCTTTTGACAAAAAATTTCTTTCATTTGAAAATAAAAAGACATATTTTACAAATAAATATCAATCGTTTTCGTACTTTCTTACGTATCAATATATTTAAACATTTAAATGTATTTACGAAACATTTAAAAACATAAATTTAAAAATTGTTGATAGTTCTAGCGTGAATTTAAAAGTATTACTGACTGATTAAAGTCATAAACAAATTTTACATTAAAAGGTCCTTTTATTCTCATTAAATTTATATAAAAAATAATCTTTTTCTTTTTCCTTGATTTGTATTGATTTAATTTTTCATAGCTGAAATAAATACCACCCTAAAAAACAATAAAAAATAAATAAATGAAATATATTTAAATCTTTCTTTTATTAATATTATATAAAATTTATTCTATGCGTCGACAAATTAAGCGTGGTATTTAATATATATATATATATATATATATATATATATATATATATATATATATATATATATATATATATATATATATATATATATATATATATATATAAAGAGAGAGAGAGAATGTTATTATGAATTCAGTAAATTCTTCTGCATTAAATATATTTAAGTTTTTTTCATCTTAATGTATTACAAATACAATTTTTTTCATTTTTGTTAAATTGTATTATAATAATATTAGAATATTATCTAATATTGTTTTTAATATTATCCAAATTTGTTATATAAAAAAGTTCCTAGTTTTAATTAAAAACTAAATAAACAACTTAATCTATTTTACAAAATATCAAATACTAAAATCTAAATCAGTTACAATGTATACAATAATCAAAAATAGATAATAATAAATTTTGTAGAATAGTTTATTTTTTTTTTTCAATAAATTTTGTAGGATAGTTTTTTGTTTTTTTTTAATTTTTATCTCCTTTAGATCTGGAATTTTGCCAATTCTTGTTGACTGTTTAAAAGTGGATGACAAGTAAGTATTGGAAATTTTGTTATATATATTTTCAAAAGTCAGAAACCTTTACTATAAGCTAAACAAAATTTTAATGTTTATTTTGTTTGGTGTTGAATTTACAGTTTTGATTTTTTTTTTACAATATTTGTTCATAATTTTCAAATTATCATTTCCATTTATTTCAATAGCTTATTTAAAAACTTATGTCTATAATATTTAAAATGTTCAAAACCTGAGGTTTTGCATTAAAACTTAATTGTAAAAATTTGAATAATGGGATTCTATTTTAGATTAGGTTTAATTCAAGATTTGCCTAACCTATATAAAATTTTTTATTATATTAATATAGTATTTAGCTATATTATATTAGTATTTAGTTTAACTTGTTGTTTTTTAAATTTAATGTCTGTGGTCTCGCATTTAAATAAATATTTGTAATTATAAATAATAAATAGTAAAATTATTTTTATAAATATAAATGTATTAATTTATTATAATATAATTATTTTGTTAATTAAAATATTTTTTGGATATTATTTAAATGTTATGAACACCAAGAAGGAAAAAGCATTGTTTTCAAAGCAAGACAAATTCACATATATTGTATCAGTTCTGATATTTTTGAAGCAAGCCATTTATCTCCTAAAATCTTTAATTTATGCACAGCTTGTTTTTAATAAAAGCAAGCTTTGCATTCCTCAATTTTGCATATGTTCACATGCTGAAAAAACTCCTAGTAGGGATCTGAAGCTATCTTTTACAAAAATTGTTTTTTGCAAATTAAATTTTCAAGTCTTGTTTGTAATTAATATAGTGTGCGCTAAATTCACATAAAAAAGTCTGTTTTATTTTTATAAACCCTGAAAGATTTTATTAATGTAGGACAACAGGAGTGTGCATTTTCAGTTAAGAAAAGTTATTGTCCTTATCATTAACAATATTATATTAAAGAAATTTCAAATCGTTTTATTCTTTATAGGTTCGTTTAAATTTAAATAATCAATACACAAAGTTACAATCTCTTTGTTCGATTGAAAGAAGAAAAACATCACACAGTAGATTGCAACTTGTTTGTTGTGTGTTCTTTCAAGAACAGACTTTTAAATGTTAAGTGAAGTACACTTTCTTTTTGGCATGAAAAGATGAATGTTATCATTACTGTTCCTTCAATATAAAAGAATTGCAAACATGCTTCCTCATTTATTTCATCCATTTAATGTAGTGTAACTGGAAATTGTTAGAAACGTTATTGCCAGTTGCTATATTGATAACTATTAAAAAAATGTAATTAAAATATATAAATTATAATGCTGTAAGCATTAAAAATTGTTAAAGCGTTTAAATCAATGCACTTAAAATATTCATTTATAATGATGAAATGCTTATTCATTCAATAAGATTATTAATTTGCTTAAAAGTTTATTTAATGTTAGAGTTGCAAAAAAGGCGTTTTTTTTTTTTAGTTCAGCACTTCAATTTGAAGCTGCTTGGGCACTAACTAACATTGCATCAGGTTCTTCACTTCAAACTCAAGCAGTTGTTCAAGCAGGTGCAGTTGCACACTTTATGCGACTTTTAGAATCAAAACATCAAAATGTCTGTGAACAAGCTGTATGGGCCCTTGGTAACATTATTGGTGATGGTCCTGTGTTAAGAGATTATGTAATAAGACATGGAGTTGTTGCTCCACTTTTGACTTTTATTGATCCAAATGTCCCAGTAAGTTGATTAAACCAATTTAAAAATTTTATTGCATTTTTTGGCGTTAAATATTTTGTGTCTTTAAAATTTCTTTAAAATTAAGCATTCATAGGTTTCATAAGGTTGAATAAAGTAGAAGTGAGTTATACACCATTTTTTTAGTTAGTTTTGCCCTTTCACATAAAATAAGTAAAGGTCTTTAAATATTATTTAGTTTCTGATTTTATTTTTTAAATGTTTATAACTTTGTAGTTTTCTGGACGTTAACACTATGTTTAATTTTGTATTTAAATTTACTAATTTTTTAATTTTAAATTTAAGAAAGCTTTTAGTGTTTTTTTGGTGGTGAAACAATTTTTAGTGCTTTATTTAGAAGTTAGTTTTTTGTAAAAAACAAAACAAAGTTAAGAAATCAGAAAAAATCTAAGTTTTTATCTAACTTCTCAAACATCAGAAATTTAAACATTGAATCAAGTCACCTATTTATTTGCAAATCAAATCTTGAATCTTAAGGAGTTAGTTTTTTCTCAAAATTCCAAAAAAAATAACACACCCAAATGTATTTTTTTTTTAGAGTTAGGGTAACTATTTATTGTAAGACCTTAATTTATAACTTAGTGCAGTATATAGTATTCATTGTCATCACAAAGTAGTTTATGACATTTGTTATGTTGACTTTAGCTGAAATTAAGATGTATTTAATCCTTATTTGTATTATTCTTATTTATAATCAAAGATACTCAGCTTTTTTTTTAAATAACATTGTGTAGTGTGGGCTATAAAATATTATAAAATAAAAGTTTTTATTAAGTTAGCTTGATCTGAATATATGAAATTTTTTGAATCAAATCTCTAATCACTTTACTTTTAATTATTTTATCTAGAATTAAAATAAAAATGTTTGTCTTTCTGCTTTTTAATTATTTTTTTAATATTTTTATAGTTTTTTTTTTCCTGTTTTTTTATCTGAGTTATTTCATCTAAAATTTAAATAAAACATTTCTTTTGTTTTTATTTTGATTATTTTATCTAGAATTTGAATAAAATATTTGTTTTTATAAACTATTTTGCATGCTAATCTAAAAATGACTACTGATAAATAGTCAGCGCTTTTTCGGTCGTTAGCATCAAATTTTAAACAGCAACCCTCGAAATTAGGTAAAATAAGGTATAAAACATAGAAATCAATTTTTTGCTGACCTCAAACACTTTTAGGTCAGCGTTGCCAAATGCTGACCCTAATTCTGAGGTTTGAAACAGAAGACAAATATATATATGTATTAGTGTTGTAATATATATTATCTAAAGTTGTTTAAAATTGACTAATGCACTTTTGAAGTCAACTAAAAAGTCAATCCTCACCAAGTCCCTGGTAGTAATACACTTTTAAAGTCAACTAAAAGTTCGATCCCCACTGTGTCCCTGGTAGTACCGCGCTCAATTTGTTTCTCCGCGCAGCGGCCTTGTTTTGTCAAGGTTCGTGTTTCAGAGTTATAGAGTTGAGAGAGGGTTATAAACTTAATAAGTAGCCTCCTTGTCTGTAGTGGCCTTTTCGGCCTTAGGGAAGTGAATTAACAAAAACAAAAAAAGCAAAAACAAAATTTAGTCAAATAATGGAAATAATTTTTTTTTTTCGAATTATGAATTTTCATATAATTTTTAATTGTATTAAGAGTAATAAAGTAATTTATACTTGTTTTTTATTTTTCAAAAAATAATGAAGCAAAAAAAGAAGAGTGCAGCAGCGTTCCAACAACAAGATAATTCATTCCCAGACCTCAATGACTTAGATACTCTCTTAATAGTTTTTGTTTTTATGTGAAATTAATAAAATTAATTATTTTACAAATAATTAATTTTAGAGATACTTTCTGACTAAATTAGTTTCAGAAAATAATATTATTAGTATTAAAAATATTTAGTTGCATGTCCCTGATTTTAAATCACAGTTTGCACTGATTAGGCATGGAGTTAATAAGATCTTGACAAAGTTTTAAAGATATGTTTTTCCAAGCATTCTGGACAATGTTCCATAATTTGAGCTGATTTTTTGGTTTTTGATCAGAAACTGTCTTCAACATGTCTATAGGTTTTCAACGAGATTAAAATCTGGTGACTGGGCAGGCCAATCTATATTTTCAATCCCCTCCTCAACAAACCAGTTTTTTACCCCATGACGGGAATGTTTTTGCGTTAATGAAAACACTGGAGCCATAGGGCAATAATCTGGTGACTGAACAGGCCAATCCATATTTTCAACCGCCTCCTAAACAAACCAGTTTTTTTTTAACCCATGGCTGGAACGTTTGAATGGGTCATTGTCTTACATGAAGACATGAGTAAAAAAAGTTTTTTTTAACTTGATTTTTAAAATTGGCACTTCTGTCAAAAATATACTCTGATTTGAAATTTACTTTAAATAATAAAATATATAAATTGTAATATGTAGAGATGTAAGTCGTTTTTTTGGTTCTTGTTTTTTTGCCAAAAAAACTGAGGACTTTGTTTTTTGTTTTTTTTTGTGTGTTTTTGCCTTAAAAACTACTCTTTTTGCATTTTATACACTGAAATGGTTTTAAAATTTATTTTTGGTGATATTTATTAAATACTTGTTTAAATACTTCCATTTACCATATTTTTAGTATTGTCTTAGTTAAGCAATTGTTCAATTATTCAAAAAAAAAAAAATTTGTAAAAAGTGTCATTAATTAGAAAAAAAAAATTTTTTTTTAATAATTTTTAATAATAATTCTTATAAGTAAAGACAAAGAAGTAAATTTTTATAAGTAAAGGCCATGAATTGTATCTTTTTTAATATTGAACTGTTTTAAGAATTTATTATATGAATGAAGTAACACTGCATCGCAAAATAAGTCAGATCCGGGAATTTTTGGTGTGGGTGTGAGAGGGAATCGGGGCTTGTTAAAAATTTAGTTTATTTTGTATCACATTTTTGCCTATTAAAAAAAAATTAAAAAATTTAAAGATATTTTATAAATTTATGGATTCTGGTGCGGGGTGGTAGGTTCATACCTCTTATTTCCCCTGGATCTGTCACTGGTTTTAAAATTACAAAATTATTTTTCAACTTTTTTAACTTCTTCAACTTATGTTCATTAAATTTTTCATTAATCCATAATTTTTTTTTTGAATAATAATAAATGTATTATTTAATGGAATGAATCAGAATTATTTAAATAAATATTTTTATTATATGAAAGAAATATATTTATTATATGAAACACTGCTTTGCAAAACAAAAAAAGGTAATCATTTTCATGTTTAATATAAGGAAAATGAATAATTTTTTTGAGGTAAAAATCTTGAAATTTTTTAAAAAAATAAATAACTGTTTAGCCATTTTCCTAATCAAAAAAATAAATATTTTTATACCATTTTGGCTAAACACTCTGTTTACACAAAATTAGTGAACAAATAGACCATAAGAGTTTTAAAAAAATCCAAAAAAACCTACACCCAAACCAAAAAAAACACGTTTTTTTGGGTGAAAAAAACGCAACAGCAAAAAAAACGTGTTTTTTTTGCAACACTAGTAATATGGCATTAAAACATACTTTTTGATTAATAAACTTAAACTTGGTCTAACAATCTCATATCAAAAATATACTTTATATAATTGTTATAATAATAGAAAAAAATTACAGAATGGATTTATAGTAATTTATGTAATATATATATATATATATATATATATATATATATATATATATATATATATATATATATATATAAATATATATATATGTATATATATATATATATATATATATATATTTTGCATTATGATTTTTTGCATAAATTGCTATATGCTATATACATATATATATATATATATATATATATATATATATATATATATATATATATATATATATATATATATATATATATATATATATATATATATATATATATATATATATATATATATATATATATATATATATATAGCATATAGCAATTTATGCAAAAAATCAATTAAAGTAATTTTACTAAAGAAAAGAATATATATTGATTTAAAAGTTTGGATTCACCTTAATAAAAGTTTTGGTTGGCAGTACACTTAAAGCAGTCAAAAGTACTCTAGAAATGCTCATCTTACCTGTTATGTTATATATAATCAGATGGTTATATATATATATATATATATATATATATATATATATATATATATATATATATATATATATATATATATATATATATATATATATATATACAGATAGATAGATAGATAGATAGATAAATAGATATAGATAGATATAGATAGATAGATAAATAGATATAGATAGATATATATAGATATAGATATATATACACACACACACACTCACTCAGATGGTTATTTCAGTATGGTATCACTTAAATAGTTTTCTGGTAGACTTTTTTTGTGTGTCTGAAAAATTTTTGTGATTAAAGTTGATTAATTTTCACATATTTAAAAATCAATGTGAGCATCATATGTGTAGACCTAAGTTTAAATTACTAGATAAATATTTGTTTAGATTAAAAGTTTATAGAAATCTATTTTCCTTTAGTTAACATTTCTTCGCAATGTTACATGGGTTATTGTCAATTTGTGTCGTAATAAGGAGCCACCACCACCAATGGAGACTATTCAACAACTGCTCCCAGCTCTTGGGGTACTTATTCACCACAATGACTTAGATGTAAGAATTTCATTTTTTTTTAAAGGAATTTGGTTTATTAGGTTTTTGCTTAGTTTATCTATTGTGTGCAAGTGTTTGTGCACACACCATGTGTATTTAGCAGGATGTTGACAAAATATCTATTATATTAGTTCTTATGTTCTTTATGGAAATATTTTATATTTATTATAACTAGATTTAGTTGGTTTACATCAAATAAAATCTAAAATCTTTCGATTAAGTTGTGTTACGTTCAAGGTTGCTTCAATTAATAGATTCTATTTTTATATGAATGTTTTTGCAAGAAAGCCATAACAATTAATAAAATTTTAAACACTCCAATATAGTTTAAAAAAGAAAATTTTTTATTTTTTGTTTTTAAGATTTATTGCATCTTTTAATATTTTTTTAAGATACTTGTTGACAGTGTATGGGCATTATCTTACCTAACTGACTGTGGCAATGATCATATTCAAGCTGTAATTTCTGTTGGTGTAATTCCAAAGCTTATTTCGTTTCTAACTCATCATGAAATACGTTTACAGGTGATTTTGTTGTTTGATATAATATTAACTCATCATCAAATACGTTTACAGACGATTTTGTAGTTTGATATAACATTAGTTTGATATAATATATATGAGTATAATACGAGTTATAATACAAATATAATAGTTATATTAATAACAATTTTCAAATACATAATAAATAACAAAGATGTAAGAGAAAATGGTGTTTGTTTATTTAAGGGGGGGGGGGGCTCTATTTGATAGAACATCAATCAAACTGTAATATTAAAGAGTAAAAAATTGTCTAATTTATAATAACTCTCTGCAAAATACAGTTACCTTTATATAAACGCAGCTTCATTGAATAAAAAACGTTATAATGTTGAATGGAAATGTGGTTTAATGCCGAGTCAGTGTCAAACCTGGATGGTTATAATATTTTTAGAAATGACAGAGTTAACAGACAAGGTGGTAGAGTTTGTATCTATACACAAAAAGATCTTATAACTTTTGAAATAAACTCTAGTGAACTATGTTATCCAGATATAGAACAAATATGGTGTGGACTCAAGTATGAATTTGAAAAAATATTAGTTGGTTGTGTCTACAGACCTCTTAACTCAGCAAACAATTTAAACCTTTGTAAATCTATTCTAGCGGCTTAAGGTATTTATGATAATAGTGCTTTTACAGTTTTTTTGTTGACTGGAGAGTTTAATTATCCAAATATAAAATGGGTTGATGATTTCTGCATTGGTACATGTTCAGATCTAAATAGCTCAGAATTTCACAGAAACTTTAAACAATTGCTTTTTGTCACAAAATGTATTTTTTCCAACATTTCAAAAGACAGATAAAGATCTGACTAACATTGTTGATGTTATATTTACAGAAAATTCAATTCGTGTTTCTGAACTCACTTCAAATCCTCTTTTAGGTAAATTGTCCATGCATATATTATATTGACTTGGAACTACTTGATAAGTGCTAATAATATCAATAAAAAATTTATTTCTAGTTCTATATATAAAAAAGGCGATTATGTTAAAATGATAAAATGTTTTAATTCAATTAATTGGAAAGCAGTATATAAAGAAATAACAATCAGTGTTATGAAAATTTTTAGAATTATATACAGTGGCTTGTAACAAGTTTATCCCTCATTCTAAAAAATATGAACAACCACGAAAGGTTTGGATTACATCTGATATAAAGAAACTAATTAATAAAAAAAAACAAATATGGTTTAAGTTTATTGTATCAGGCAAAAATAATATCAAATTATTAGCAAAAAATATACTTATTAAAACTGACTCAACATTCTATTGAGTTAGCTTTGAAACAATTTGAACATGACTTAGCTAAAAGTTCTAAATCAGATCCTAAGAGATTTTATGCATACGTAAACAGCCAACTAAAGTATAAAGAAGGAATTTGCACTTTAAGGTTTCCAGATAAAACTGTGAGTGATAACTTTTTAGATATTACAAATTTGTTAAACACACATTTTCAATCTGTATTTACTGAAGATGATAACAAAGCCTTACCAAGTTTTGATCCCGTTACTCATTTTCACTGTGAAAATGATATAAACAAAATAATCAGTTTGAAAGAAATTCTTGTACAGTTAAAATCATTGGATAAATACAAATCCTATGGGAACGATAGAGTCCGTCAGTATGTACTGAGTACCTGTTCTTTAAGTCTGAGTATTCCTATTGAACATATTTTTAAGCTATCACTTATTAGTGCCAAAAGCATGGCAAGACTCAAACATAGTTCCGATTTTTAAAAATCGTGATAAGCTTGATCCTTCCAACTATAGACTTGTTTCTCTTTCGTCAGTTATATGCAAAATTTTAGAAATGATATTAAAAAAAACCATCATTTGGCATCTTTGAGACAATAATTTGATAAATAAGAATCAGCATGATTTTTTACCAGATGAACCTTGCTTTACAAATTTAATTAAAAGCCAAGATATTATTACTCTAGCAGTGGATCAAGATTGTCCTATTGATATACTTTTTACTGACTTCTAAAGCATTTGACAGAGTTCACCATAGAAAACTTATATTTAAAATTGAAATGTATGGTATAAAAGGATTCATTTGTAAATGGATTGAGTTTTTTTATCAAATAGAAGGCAAAGAGTTGTTCTTAAAGACATTGCTTCTATGTGGCTTAATTTTTAAGTGGTGTACCGCAAGGCTCTGCTTTGGGACCAATTTTGTTTTTAATTTATATCAATAATCTTCTGGAAAAAACAAAAAATAAATGCAAGCTCTATGCTGATGATTGCAAAGTTTTCCACATACCGTGGCTGTGATAACAGTAGTAATGATCTACAGGATGACAAATTCTATTTTTAATTGGTGCAATGACTGGAGTATGCAACTAAATATATAAAAATGTAAAATAATGCATGTCAATACAAGTAATAAATTAAATTAAAATATCAATAAATATTACATTTCTGATTATCAATTGAGTACTGTGGATTGTGTAAATGATCTTGGTATAATGTTTAAAAGCGATCTGAAATATGGTCATCATATATCTGCGTGTGTTAAATGCTGATATACTTATATTGTTATATGTTTTGCTAGTGCGCCCTCGTCTAGAATATGTCTTCTATTTGGAATCCATTTTTAAAAAAAGACATTAATCTTATTGAAGGAGTTCAACATAGAGCAACAAGACTAATTTCAGGATATTCAGAACTTCTTTAAGAGGAGTATTAAATGGACTTAATTTTAAAACCTTATCTATGAGAAGATAAATTTAAATGTCTTAATAATTCTTATCAGCTAAATACAGTATCTTCCCTAAGAAACATTTGTTGACCAACTGTACCAGCTGGAAGTGTTTGTGACTATATTCACAATCATAGATATACTTCTGAGACTTGTAAGCACTTGAGTAGTAGATTTTTCCATTTGTATTATTCCAATTTGGAACAATTTGCCATTTGATGTCGAACTAAAAAGTCTGTGTTAAGCTTTAAAAAAAGTCTTGATGAACTATATTATGTGAATTAAAATTTCAAGTTGTAGTTTTTAAACTTGTTGCTAAAGTGGATTACCACTCAGTGAGAATTTGCTCACCACAGCAATTAAATAAATAATAATTAAACAAGATGGTTATTCAATAGTAGTTTTTTTCAGTTATTAAAATTTATTGTTTTAACTTTTTCAGACTGCAGCTCTCCGTGCAGTTGGTAATGTTGTTACAGGTACTGATGAGCAAACACAAATGGTTATTGATAATAATGCTCTTGCAAACTTTCCTGCTCTTTTGCAACACCCAAAAGAAAAGATTAGAAAAGTAAAAATTGCTTTTTATTTATATTTTTGATTTTTTAATTCTTATTATAAATTAATGGTCAAATATTTTTAGGAAGCTGTTTGGTTTTTGTCTAATATTACTGCAGGAACAGAGCAACAAGTTCAATGTGTCATTGATGCTGGGCTTCTTCCACTTATTATTAAAGCTCTAACAGAAGTAATTATTAGTTGTTGCTATTTTTTATTAAGTGTCACTAACATGTTACATCCAGCACTGTTTTATAAATATTTTGAACATTATACAGACTGGAAAGATGCACAAAATTTTCTGAATTAAAAAATTAATCTTCCTTATTTTTAAATTCAGTTTTATTTAATTGTTATAATCTTATCTATGTTCCATTTATTTTGTATATTTATTTTGTATTTATTCTATTTAATTTATTTTCTATTTAAACTTTTAGTTGAATAATCCCAAGAATTATTATTTAAGTAAATTCAAAGTTCAAAGTTCATTATAACTTCCGTTATAGAGATACTTTTTAAATCAGTTGTAGCAGCAGGCATCTACAGGGTGGTGAATCGAGCTCAGCCTAATATTAAAAAAAAAGCTAAAATATTTATTTCCAATAAATAAGATTTCCATATTTATTAACCTTTATATTCTTTTGTAATAATAAAAATTAAACAAAACTAGTAACACATGAAATAAAATTTGAAAAATTGAGATATAAACAAAATATATTTATTGCAAAAATTTGTTTTGGCTTTTAGTGAATGGTTTAAAGCAGCATACAATTATATTAATCATATAAAATAATGGTGTAAGTAATATGTAACAAACTAAATTGTTAGTTATTTTAATATATTATTATGTTATACAATTATTAATTGTTAGTATAAATATTTATGTGCTTGCAGATAAATAATTTGAAAAAAAATTTTTTTTTTCAAATTATTCTTAATCTTTTGTTTATTCAACAATTTTTTCTTTTGATTTTTTTAAATTTATTTTATATATATATATCAGGGAATATCTTTTTCCGGATATTTCCGGAATTCCGGATATTTTTCTCAAAAAATAGTTTTTCCGGATAACCAAAATCTTTTCTCATACATTCAAGTTTATATAATATTTGTTTTAATGTATATACATTTTTCGTTTTCAGTGATCAGCCATAAAAAAAATGTCAAAAATGTCTTTAAAAATTCTGAAATCTACCAGCTGAGGAGAAAAGTAAGGGAAAATATGTTCCAGATTTTTCCGGATATTTTACATAAACTATATTTTCCGGATTTTTAAAAAATGACCTGGACGATCACTGATATATTTATTAATTATTATTATTTTTTATTAATTTTATATTTATTAATTGTTATTATTATTACTATTATTGTTATTGTTATTATTATCAAAAATGTTGTAAAAATGATTTATGGAAAATAAATAGCTAGTTGTGTTGTTGCTTATTACTTTTTTTAATTTATAATCTACTTGAATTGAAATTAAAATAAAAAAAAAATTATTTTAATAAAATTAAAATCTGATTTTATTTGTGAATGAGTATTTTTTTTATGAGATTTCAAAATTTAATTTACTTCACTTATTAAACTGTCTACCAGACTTCTTTAGACTTATCAAAATATTAGCAAAAGAAAAAAAAGTTTAGTGTTGCTTAAATAGCCCTACATTGTGTTATACGTAAGTATAACACAATGACACTTTAATTTTTGTCTATCAAAAAATACTCCTATCAAAAATACTCCTTTTTGTTTAACATAACAAATGACTTTCCAGTAACAACTGCTTTTTCAGTAATAAGAACTGACTTTTCAGTAACAACAACTGTCTTCTCAGTAACAAATTTGGCTATTTTTAAAATTCAATATTTGTTTATAAATTAAGTATATTTCTAAATACAACATTTTTGTAATTATTATAAATTAAATTTAAATAAAATTAATAAAATATTGTTAAATAAATTTTTTTTGTAATAATTGTTAAATAATTTATTTTGTAATAAATGTTGCAACACTTTTACTTAAATGTGTAACAAAGTTGGAGAAGCAAGGGTTATGGGATAAACACTGACTTCTTCAAAAGTTTGGTCTTGACTGTTATTTATAATGCTAATTTATCAGGAAAGTAACTTTCTCGTAGTGATAACTGAAACTGAGGAGCCTTACTTTTGGAAACATCTGCTAGAACTTGCTGCAAATCTAAATGTTATTATTTTGTAGCATTTTCAGTCAGATTCCATTTCTTAGTATAATTATAAGATTTATATTTTTAGGCAATGTTCCTAATTTAAAACAGTTACAGCATGTATATAAATATATAATAATGTTTATATGTGTATTCTATTACACATACATGTATACTATTTGCACATACTAATATATTAGAAACTTGAAAATAAACTTAATAGGAAGCTATAAAATAAAAATTAATAATTTGTAAATAAATTGCAAACTTAAAGCTGTTTGTTAAACAAGTTAAAACTCTGCTTTTATAGAACCATAAATTTATGAAAATTACTTTGCAGAACTGTATATATAATTATTAAAATGTTAAAAACATAAAATTTGTTTGATATACAAAAATTATAATATAGATAATATTGTATTATAAAATTTTATTTTCATTCCACATTAGTATTATGTACTGTATTATAAAATAATACTAATATTTAGTATATTTGTGCCTGGTATGTTTATAATTTTTTTTTTTTTTGGTAGCAAAAATAAACATGATTTGTAAATATTTGATTTTATAGTGTTTAACTATTTCGTAGGGTGAATTTCAAACACAAAAAGAAGCAGCTTGGGCTATTAGCAATCTCACTGTTAGTGGTGTTCCAGCTCAGGTTTGTATTTTTTTCAGAATCACAATTTGTTGTGGTGAATTGTAGTTTTGAGTTGATTTAAAAATAAAACGTTTATTTGTAGTTTTATACTTATACTGTCTATTACATTAGTATTGTTATTATTATTTTTTTAATCTGCATTCTTTTATTTTTTACATTTTCCTTTTTGTTTATTTTAAACCAAATTTTAAAAGTTTATCTTTTATTAACAACTCTATTTAGTTGAATTCAGTTTAACTGATGTTTTTATTTTGAATTCTTTTTTTGATTTTTTTTTATATATAGTTTTTTTTGTGTGTGTGTGTTTTTTTGTTTTTTTGTATATAATCTAAAACTTTATACTTTTATAAAAATAATTATTATCAGTTATGTAAAGTTTGTTAATTTTTATCATTTGAATTAAAGTAGAAGAAAGTAGGGAGAGTGGGGAGAAGTATAACGTTAATTACGAATACTTCTAGAATAATTAAAAATACTTCTAGAATAATTAAAAATACTTCTAGAATAATTAAAAATACTTCTAGAATAATTAAAAATACTTCTAGAATAATTAAATCTTTTTTCTATAATTGATGAACTGAAGCAAACAAGTTTTAACAAATAAAACATCATTTCGGGCACTGATTCCATCCGATAAGATTGATTTCATATTATAGGATATTATTTTTTTGGTTTTGAAGGGACTGTGCCAACAACACATCAACAAAAATTGTAAACTATGTAATCTTTATCAAAGTAAAGTTTTCACAATATATAATTACACAAAAGCAATAATTGCGCAATATAATTACTCAAAAGCAGGGCATCAATGAATTTTCTTTGTCCAATTTCACCTACCAAAAAAAAAATTTTAGGAGTCCTTTTTAAAAATGCAGTTTTTACCACATGCAGGAAATAAAGTTTTATATTGGCTAAATAGAGTGGAAGAAATCTCATGTTTGCATAAGATAGCAGTTATTAGAGACATTGACTAATTGGAATTTTTGTGCTGCCCTATTTTTACTTTGTCCTACTTCTCCCCCACTCTTCTCTACTAATATTATTTCATAAATATACTAATTTTATTAGGTTTGTTTTTATTATAGCAAAATTGATTTAAATATAATCAACAAAATAAATATTGAAATAAAAAAACTAAATATAATTTTTTGTTAAAAAATATTTACTTTGCCTCCAGCAAGATTTTATATTCAAAAATAGCAAACTACAACTTTTTATTTGGCCTCCCCTATAGATGACAAAGGTTGTAAAGTAGATTAAATATTTTTATCTTTGAGCTGTTACAAAGTTATCTGGGCAATAATGTTTAGGCATTTTAGTAGACAATAGATTTCAGTGAGCTAGTGCTGATGTTCTGGGCCCTGGTTTTTACCAAGAAAGTTTTCGGTGTGTGTTTTTGTCTTTTGTAGTTATACTAAAACAAATTTTAGAGTAAAATTTAATTTAGACCGTCTTGGGGTCAATAAATGTAAAGTATAAATTTTTGAAGAATAGTTATTATTTATTTAATAGTTTCTTATTCAGATATATAATATATATTTATATATATAATTTATATAATATATAATATAATTTATTACCTTATTAAGAATTGCATAGAGCAGTTATTAATGCAAATAGAAAATTCATTTTGCTATAGTTTGTTTCAAAATAATATTTATGTAATAATATTAAGTAATGAAAAGTTGAATATATAAATATTTACACTTTTTTACTGTTCTAAATTTTTTTTTTTTTTTTTGGTTTTGTTTGTAAAATGTTTGAAAACTAAGATTGTAAAAGTTTTTTTATGTTTTTGTTTTTTTTTAATTTTGATAATTATTTCAGATTGCATATGCAGTTCAGTGTAATTGTATTCCTCCTTTTTGTAATTTGCTGAGTGTGCAAGATTCACAGGTTTGTTTTATCACATGAATGTTTTACTTTAAAAAATGTTTTTATATTTCAATGTATATTATTAACCTCGTTTTTCTATGAATATTGTTACATAAGTATTATTGCTGTAAATAGTTTTGAATTTTAAAAGAAGAATTATTTATAGATTATTCATGTAGTTTTGGATGGATTGACTAACATATTAAAGGTAAAGAACGATTTTCTAAAAATATATTACAACACAAATTTAATTCAAAGGTTTTTCTTTTTTAAAATTATTTTTTATTTACAGGCTGCTGGAGATGATGCAGATAAAGTGACATTGATCATTGAAGAGTGTGGAGGTACCTTAAAAGCTTATTAATTAAACAATGATAAATTGTTAATTCTATAATTATAATAGTTATTATAATTAAACAATTGATAAATTAAAATCGAGGTATTATATAAATAAGAATGTTAGTTCAGAGAATGTTTTGTTTTTAATGATTTTCTTAAAGGGATCTAAAATGGTTACTTTTAGAATATTTCATGTTTAAGTGCAGTTTAATTGTTGTAGTTTTGATATTTTTTCAAATATAAAATATTTCGCTGCGATGCTCAGTGGCGACCATTTTTTGTCTTAGTGTCGACATATTGATGATGCTAAGTGTCGAGAATTATGCCTTCTTAGTTTCCTTGTTAAAATACGATATAGTTTCAACATTCGCATGGGAAAAAAGTGTAGCCTTTTTTTTTTTTTCTATTCTGATATATAAAAACACCACGAGGCTGCACAACAGATAAATTAATATTAACATAGATATACATATATATTCTTTCGTCACTTTGATATTCTTGCGGATTGATTTAGTGATTACTGATTTAAGTTTAATCTTTCTTAAACAGGCTTAGATAAAATCGAGGCATTGCAAAATCATGAAAATGCTGAAATATATAAACTTGCGTTTGAAATCATTGAAAAGTACTTTTCAAACGATGTAAGTATATTATGATATTCTTTAAATATTTTAAATGATTTATTTTAAATTAATGTTAAATATTTTACGTATAAGTTTTGCTACCATTTAAATCTTATATTAGTAATTTTTAATTTTAGATGGATAATGAAGACGAAGCTGTTGTTCCCGCACAATCAAACGGCCAATTTAAATTTGATGTAAAAGAAGGAAACACTAACTTCAGCATATAAACGCGCGTATTTTAATGAGTGATGCGAGAAGAGAGGCGTGAGGTGCGGACGCATTCGCGGGCATCATATTGCGTATCTTTGGCGCTTTTTTGCTTCGGCAAGCTCGTTTTACTTCTCTTTCTTAACATGAATGATGAGATGTGAATTGTGATGTAGCCTGGAGTTGTCAAATCTACTATCAGACATAAGTATATCGTGTATTTATAAACGATCTTTGTGTGCATTATGTTTGAGGGTAATATTTTGAAACACTATAATCATGTAATGTGTAATACAGTCTTTTATTTTTAAATTTTATGGCTTTTGTAAACTTTTAATTTTTAACTAATTAATTTTTATGTTCATAATTTTTGGATTATCTGCATGTGTTTTTGTGGTTTAACTTCAGACTGTATTTTTATGTTCCATTAGCGTTTAGTTGATGTGTCCATACTGTAAAATATATTGGTTACTTCAATTCAAAATTTCTTTATATGCTTTAAAATCTGGACTTACAAAACGATTAATTTATTTATTAAGTAATTTTGTTTTCTAAGCACGACCTTGTTCTTTTCTAATTCAAATACATGGAATTCAAAAACTGTTGATTTTTATATTTTTAACCCTATTGCGTTGGTGCTGTTTATTTAATTTTTTCCTGATTTCAAACACAAAGTCGAAATCAATTTTCATTATATATACACATTTATTAGATACACTAAACATGTAAAACATTACAAAAATAGTTAACCATTATATTTGTCCATTTTTAAAAGTTATTAGCGCTATGACTCGGTGGAAAATAAGATCTTAGATTTGCGAGTATTTTTTAGGTGTTGGCTTTCTTGTAATTGATAAATTATTTCTAAAAGTTAAATTTAGGTGAATTAAAATATCAAGAATTAGGAAAAACGATTTTTGCTGCAGTTAATTCCCGGTAATTTAAACACCAATTAACTCGAACTGTCTCACTTGTCTTTTGAACTCGTCTAGTTGATTATAAATGAAATTCTCCGGATAAGTTGAACCATATTTTCGTCCCTTTTCAAGTAATTTCTTCGCTTCACTCGAACTTTTTATATGGGAAATAAGTTGACTAAAGTTATTTTTTTTTTTTTTTTTTGTAGTCGTTTCTTAAAGTAAGTAGCACATTTTCTATATTTCTAAAGCAGCCTAATGTTTAATTAATTTTATTTCTTACAATTACCTACATTTTGTTTAATAATATAATAAAATAAAAATTAGAAAAAATTCATTTAGGCTGAAAATGCATTGTTAAAGCTGTGTTTTAAGCAAACCTTATAACTTGATTTTGCCTAACTCAAACTACAATTTGGAACATAGTTTTTTTAAATATATTATAGCATATATTTCATTTTTAACTAAATCACTATATTTACATAAAACAATAATTTCAATATTTAAAACTATAAAATTTCATTTTTTATATAGCTTTGCATAAAAAACCTGAGGGTCAAAAGAAGTATTATATTGTAATGGACAACCCTTAAAACTTTTATAAAAAAGCAGAGTTAGGTTAATGAGAAATGCGTTTCAGAGTTTCCAAAGAGACATTGCCAAAAAAGCAAAAATAAGTAAAAAAGAACATAAATATTATAAAACCAATAAGTTCCTTTTACACCTGAGTAGAAGTTTTACTCAGTTTTTTTCTTTGCACTTTACTTTTAACCTTTGACTTCTCATTTCAAATTTTGGTTTTATTAATTTTACTTAATGAATCTAATTTAACAATTCCATTCATGTCAAAGTACTTATAAACGTCTAATACACCATTAACACCGTCATTATTGTGTAGCACTGATGAGTATGTTATACAAAATGTTATACAATCCACAAATTACAGCTAATGAGTTTAATAAACATTTTTTTGAAATTGGTCCAACCCTATCAGATAAAGTTCCAATTACCAAAACTTCTTTTATGATTTTTTAACACCTCTTGATAAAGGCATTTGCTCAGATGAACTATCGTAGATCGCTATGAACAAATTAAAAATATTCTTTTTAAAATCTACAAAGCATCCATCCATCAAGGAATTTTCCCTGAGCGCTTAAAAATTGCTAAAATTATTCCAATTCACAAAGAAGGCGACAGATCCAATATCAATAATTACCGCCCCATCTCTATCCTATCTGTATTCTCCAAAATCCTAGAAAGAATTATGTTTAACAGAGTTAATAGTTATTTTAATTACAATAACCTACTATTCAATAATCAATTCGGTTTCAAAAAAGATAGTTCAACTGAGTATGCCATTATTCAATTTGTACGCAACATCTCCAAATCCTTTAAAAAAGCTCAATATACATTAGGTATTTTTATAGATCTATCAAAAACATTTGATACGGTTGACCATAATATTTTAATACAAAAAATGAAATATTACGGTTTAAACAATAATACTTTAGCGTGGTTTAAAAGCTATTTAACAAATCGTAAGCAAGTAGTCTATAGTAATAATGACGTTCAAAGTGGATCCTTAAATATAACCTGTGGTGTTCCACAAGGTTCTATTCTTGGACCGCTGCTATTTCTTATATATGTCAATGATCTAAACAAAGCCTCTAACCTGATGAGTATTATTTATGCCGATGACACTAACTTATTTCAATCCCACACTGATGTTTACAAACTTTTCTCAAAAACTAATAATGAACTTATAAACATTTCTAAATGGTTTAAATGTAAAAAATTAACGTTAAATACTAACAAGACTAAATGGATTCTTTTTCATTCCTTCTCAAAAAAACGTTCTTTACCAGATATTATGCCTCAAATTTATATTGATGAAACTCTAATAAAAAGAGATTCTGTTATAAGATTCCTAGGTGTTTATCTTGATTAGAATATTACTTGGAAAAACCATATTAATCATATAACCATTAAGTTATCTAAAAATATTGGCATTTTGTATAAACCCTACCTTACTTAAGCAAAAAAAACCTTACGCAGCTCTATTACTCATTCATACACAGCTATATAAACTACACAAATATTGCATGGGGTAGTACCGAAAAAAGTAAACTACAACGTCTATATCGCCAACAGAAACATGCAGTTCGCGTGATTAATTATGTGGATCGCTCTACACATTCAAAGCCTTTCTTTGATGAAATGAAAATACTTAATGTCTACAAACTTAATGTTTTCAATGTTTTATGTTTTACTTATATGTGGAAAAACAATTTATCCCTACCTGTTTTTAACGACCTTTTTACATTAAAACTTACTAATAAGTACTCTCTAAGAAATAAAGATTTGCTAAATGAACCATTTTGTAGAACAAATTTTAATAAATTTTGTATTAATTATAGAGCACCTTACCTTTGGAATAAAATAGTTCTGCCTAATTTTGATCCTTTTATCCGTTTTTCTGTTTTTAAAAATGAATTAAAAAATTTTATTCTTGCTATGGATGACATTTTAAGTTACTATTAGCTTGAAGTATAAACTTGATTTATGAGATTTATAGACCAATAGGAAGCAGTATATAGTATATAGTTTATGATGAAGGAAAAACTAATTATGAGACAATTAAATGTGGTGTTCCTCAAGGATCAATTTTAGGGCCACTTCTATTTCTTGTTTATATAAACGATTTAAATAAATTTTCTAACATTTTAAATACAATTTTATTTGCAGATGATACCAGCTTGTTTTATTCCAATAAATATATCGATATATTATTCCATACATTAAACAAAGAACTAGACAAACTAACCCAATGGTTTACATCAAACAAGTTATCTTTAAATATTACTAAAACAAAATACACTTTATTCCATCACCTACATAAAAAATCAGATATTCCCTTAGAACTTCAGACCTTTTTATTGACAATCAATTAATAAAGAGAGAGCAAAGTTTTTAGGCGTGTTTCTAGACGAAAATGTAACCTGGAGGGAACATATAGGTGTAGTTGAAGATAAAATATCAAAAAATTTAGGTATAATGTACAAAGCAAACCAGTTATTACATCGATCTTGTTTAAAAAATATTTACTTTTCTTTTATTCATTGCTACTTAAGCTATGCGAACATTGCTTGGTGTAGCACTAACGCGACGAAAATAAAAAAATTGCTTAGCAAACAAAAACAGGCTATAAGGATAATTTCAAACGTAGATCGTTTTCACACACACAAACACTTTTTAATGAACTCAATATCCTAAATGTATATAAACTAAACCTCTATCAAGTTCTTATTTTCATGTTCAAACTTGATAAAAATATATTACTAATCTTATTTTATTCAATTTTTGAAAAAATAAATCACATATACCCTACAAGATTTTTAAAATACAACTACATTCAATCCAAAACTTATTATTCCGCTACTAAATTCTCTATTGTAAACCGAGGACCAAAGTTGTGGAACATAATATTAAATAATGAAATGAAAACTAATTATTCTCTAAACCAATTCAAAACAAAACTTTAAGCAATTACTTTTGTTAACTGAAAATGAATTAAATTTTTTCTATTAAAACTTCTTTATATTAGAAATCAATAATTAATAGTTAATTAATTAATTACTTTAGACTATTAATACATAATTAATCAACAATTGTACATATATTTTTATCATTTTAAATGATAATCTTCTTTTTGAGAAATTTATTTTTTATTTTTGCGTTATTTATTAATCTTTTAGTTTTATTTTATACTGTTTATTTGCTTTTACTTAATTGGCAATGAAAAGTATTATAAATATAATTAAATAAGTTAAACTATAAAATGCTCTACCAATAAAATGTTTTTATATAAAATCATATCTTCTTATTTTTCAAACCAAGTCCTAAATTTTATTTTTGTCATTTTAATATTTTATTAAATTTTGTTTCTTTTATTTTACAAAACAATTGTTAAATTTTATTCTTTGAAAAACTATAAATTTTAAACGATATGCGATGTATTTAAATTTTCTTTTATAATATAAATTAGAGATATATACATTGAAACTATATTTTATTGTTAAACTATATTTTGTCTAGTAATGAAGCATTTTTTGGGGCTTAATGATAAGACTAAATTTGTCTTCTTCTAGCCCCGGTCATGTAATTATTTTTTTTATAAGTTACGACTGTAAATTTTTTTTTATCGGCAAAAGTGTAAATAAAAAAAAAAAAAAAGATTTATAGTAATATTTATATTAATAAATTTATTTTCTTTAATTTATAATAGATCTATAAAATTTATTATTATGGATTTTTATAACAGATTTGTGAGAATTATTATTACAGATACGTGATTAATATTATGAATTTATTATTATATATTTATTATTACGCCCGTTTTTGGATTTATATTTTAAGTTTTTATAGTATGATAAAATTGTAAAGGTTCTGATGATAAGATCAGTTGATCTTCTTTCAGAAGCCTTGTTTTCTTTGTTCTTGTAAAATATAGTATTTATTTTACGGCAAATGTAAACAGAAAAAAAAAAAAAAAAAATTGTATATAATTCTAACCGATGTGTCCTATGGTACACGAGCTCTTATAATTAAATTTAAAGCTTAACTGATATTTTGTGTTGTACCATGCAAACATTTAATAAGAAGATCGTCAGCTTAAAGATCCTT